TTCTACTCCCAGAATTGCTGGGAGGGAAATTCTGGGAGTTGAAGTCCACCCATCTTAAAGTTGCTGAGGTTGAGGAACCCTGTTTTAACAGACTCATTTGCCCAATGCATGCTGAGCTCTCCATCATCAGCCTCAGAAATAACAAAGATACCTAAACTTTCATACTTTAAAAGGGCAAACAGAAATCAGAGCTTCAGAAGCTAGGTTATGCTTGTCACGTAAAACAGTTTCTGCCTTGTTTTGCTTTTCAAATAACCATCCCCTAGAATAGCATAAAACATATATGCACACACAGAAAACCCAAGATGAGCTCTGTCTTCAGGCTTATAAGATTGACAAGAAAATTGGAGTAGAGTGAGGGGGGAAAAAAAGAAACAGAGGAGAAGTCAGTTCTTTGTAGCCAGAATAACTGGGTAAGTCATAAGCCAATAATAATTATTACTATTGTTATTATTAAAGAAAAATGTACATCAGGCATGTTTGTCACTTTGCTGTCCTTAGGAAAAGAAAACATTGAAAGAAAAGAAACAGCTTTTAAAAAAGAAGTTGCATCAGATGATGTCAAATGCTGAAAATTCGAAAAGGTTAGTGAATTGCACACAACTTAAAAAAAAAAAAAACTAAATCAATAGGGGTTATAGTAAGCAGTTGTAAGGTTTTTAAAAGCAAAGGAGCATCTTTGTATTAGTAAAAGTTGGGCCACCTTGTACTTTGTACCTTACACAAAAGCTGCAATTTTACCTCTAAACTGGTTTAGAAAAAAATGAGTCTGTAATAATGGCAGTGCAGTGTTCTCCCCTGATTCGAATTAAGGAATACTATTTGGTAGTATCATTTACTACTTCTGGGGTGGACTGCACTAGGGTTGGTTTTCAAATATACCCCTCTCCCATGCCAGAGAGCCTGGAAGATCTGCACATGATAGAAGGTAAGAGCAGATCTATAGCTGTCATCCATCTTCACTTCAAATGTATCACATCATATTCCAGGCCACGAGCCTGTGTAACCTGCGTGCAGTGCATCTTTCACAAAACATCAGGTGGGCCCCATGGAGATCCCATATACTTTTCTGTGTAGATACCAGATGTGGTTGCATTAGACACATCCTCACACCTATGCTTGGTCATTGCATACAGTTTCCAAATTCCATATTATACCAAAATTCAGCAGCAAATTGCCAACAGAAAAAAAAAATAGTGGATTTGGAAAGTGAAGTCAGGATGACTATCAAAGGGTGCACGGTACTAGAGGATAAAGTAGAGGTTCAGGAATTTGGAGAAGAAAAGCAGAAGAAGCATGAAACTTCACGTAGTAGTGTTGCTTCTGCACTAATTGATTGCAGATTAAGTACTTAAATGGAGAAGCAGGGGTGAAATGATGCCTATCTTGAAAAGACTTGGGTGAACTCAGGTGAGATGAAGCAAGGGGAAACAAATTTGGCTGACAGTCATGAATACATGTAATGTCTTATTCTTTGGTTCTTAACATAAGTCTGTAGAGAAGAATCTTCAGAAGAACTCATAGCTCTGGTATGGTCTTCATGATCTCTGAGTCATTTTTGCTATCAGACCATCCAAATTTGGTTTATTGATTTTGTTATTGCTAAGTAGCATTTCAACCTTCTAGGGACACTTTCATAAAATTGAAAAAAATAGGAGAAAGGTTAACAACAAAAACTCAAAACTTAAATTCTATTGGAACAAGAGTTCTTGAGCAGTTCCTATTAACATGAACATTTCCTGATCATTTGCCCATTTGGCCAATAAGAAAGGGTCCATCATCCATAATGTTCATGAAAATTTTATGTCCATTGCTTTATCCCAATTAGCCTCCGTTTTTCTTCCTCTAATGCTTTTCCAGTGCATGTATTAGCTGATTGATCTTTCTCATTTGTTCCAGCTGTGTAAAAGTTCAGACAGAGATCTCTGTTCTTCAGGAGCAAATTAGTCACCTGGATCATGTGATCCATTCTCAGCACCAACATTTGCACAATGTGATTCACCAGGTTTGAGTAATCTATTTCAATATACTAGAAGCAAATCCTTCTCTGAGTGCAGATTACTATGTAGCCAAGTAATCTTCACGCAAGTGGGAGAAGGAGGGACTGAGAAACTTGGGGGAATGGCAGATTTACAGAAGTCCCCCTCAAAAAACTGGGAACAATTGAAAAGGGAACTGGTTGTAACCATTAAACAATTCTTCATTTTGACAGGGATAATTTTGTGTAAATTCTTCCATTTATATGGGCAGCAATCAACTAAAACACTTCAATCCAGATTTTTTTGTTATTATTACTTGTGATTTGAACATGAGCAAATCTATTCATGTACTACAATCTTGTGCATTTAATATTTGAAAGTTATTTTGAAATACACTACATAATGTTATATATACATATTACAATATAGAATTAAGATAATCTAATGTTTAAATAGGTCCTGCTGTGCTCTGTAATATTGTATAACTATCTCATTAATTAACACAGTTATTAACTACATAGCTATCTCAAATAAATGCTTGAAATGCAGTCATTTGAGAGAAACGGTTATCCAATTAATCATTGAACAAAATATAGAAAAGTAAAGACAGATAAAACTGGGCAGTTTTGAGAATAAAAATCAGAAAAGTTCAAGAAGCAAAAGACAAAAGTTATTTCTCTAATCATATATAAGCAGTTCACTATGAATATTAAAGACTAAAGTAAATGAGGCAGCCAGCAAAATAATAATAATGTTTTATCCTATCCTTTTTTATATCTTAGGAGATATGGATAATAATGCTATACTAGAATGAATTACTGCATTTCTATGTATTTTTCTCAGAAACAAGAACCTCGCCCCTTGCCCAAAGGAGTAACTAAATGAAAATTGTTGGCAGAGATTGTAATATATACCAATTTGATTATAATTGTTTTTTAGAAGGATAGTGTATTGTAGTGGTCAAGGTTTTGACTAGAGTGGGGAACCCCACATGACTTTGGGCCTTTCCCCTTTCCTTTCTATGGGGAAAAAATATGAAAGTATTTTACATAAGCCACCTTGAACTGAGAAGAAAAGGTGGAATGTAAATCTAAATTATTATTATTATTTATTTTGACATGACAAAATAAGATTTAAAAGCAATTAGGTACCAAATTCTTATTTATTCAGTTTATCTGTTGCCTCAGTAGACTCCAGGCAGTGTACAGATATTAATGATAAAAGCAATATATAGTAATGCTGAATAAGTAATGCAGTGCAAGTAAATAATACTTTTAAATATAAAGTTCAAAGATGATTCAAGTTGAAGTCCACTTCCATACTTTAAGGCATTCAATCCAACCTGGTGTGTTTGATATAATTCTGTATAACTCTGGAAATATTCCTTTGATTTTAAATGATGTGATTCTACATCGTTCTTCAAACATTGGTAAGGTTTTTTAATTTGCTCATGAACTTTTCCCAGCTTCAGAAATCCTCAGATGTGTTAACTTTAATTGCGAATAGGCTTTTCTTCTTAAAGCTGCAATAAAAATAAAGTGTAAAGAAATGTAACAGAGTAAAAGACATAGAAATATATATTTGTTCATAATATTGGCAATGTGAAATGTTACTCAGGAGTGCCTTCCGCTGTGAAATAATCCCGTGGATTTTGAAGGCATGGACTTTGGAAATTGCATCTAGCAAGTTTTGTTGCTAACTAACTTCTCCACATTGTTTTAGATTGAGGGACTGAATAATGAACTGAAACATCAGGATGAAAGAATAGAAAGCTTAAAAGAACAGATAGTGGTGCTTCAAGCAAAGGTAAAAAGATGATGATGATGATGATGATGATGGCGATGATTGCAAAACTCAGATCTGTCCTAC